TATATATATATATCCCATTTGTGGCACACTCTGGACAGCACCCTTAGTATTTGCCTATACTGTCTATGCCACAGGCCGGTCCTGCTTACAACATATATTTTTCCACAATTACAATRTATTTTAACTACAAATTTAACTGCTTTCAATTGTGTATTAGATTGAAACTTGTGTAAATGTCCAATCCCTTTCTTCAAGAAAAACAGCAGTGTGTCTGTTGTACTGATTGTTGCATGTAACAATTTGATGCAGGTGAATGATGCTACCATGTTTGTGTTTGTACTGGCTGAACATTAACAAGAAGCAGGATTGTAGGTGTTGAGATTAATAGATGTGAAAATCCTAGTCGGGGTACAATTGATAAAGCATTCTTGTGAAACTGCAATAATGTGTCCTTTTTGTCAAAAAAAAAAACATATTTGTATGTTTTGGTATCTCCTCAAAGTGTCCAACATTGTGCATGACATGTTTGCTTTTAAAATATCTAAAGAGTTCATTTATTTTTCTACTGTTGTACTATCTGCACAAAGACGACTGGAAAAATATATATTTTTAGGTAGAATCCATAATTTATATGAACACCTATTGGCATACAATACAAACTCCAACTTTACGAAAGGTTCTCTTTTAAGCCAGTAGATGTATATTTATGAGGGGAAAAAAACTCAAGGCACAAACTCTACTTTCTGTGTTTGATGCTTTTGTGCTCCTTCTCCTCCCCACAAGGGTCATTAGAGTCTTCACCGGCCTGGTCCACATTTGAGATATTTTGGTCAAACTTATTCGATTCAAGTTGCATTTTATTCACTGGAATTTTTAAAACCAGAAGCTCTCTCCTCAGTTTAGTGTGATTTCTACTTTCACAAAACGGGCCTGTTTTACTCCTCTTTCAAACCATCTATATTCTATGTCTAAAATATGTACATTGCTTTCCTCAGCAGTGTTCCTGAAGCCTRAGGTGTAAGTGGACTTCTGAGTTTTAACCTGAGGAGCTGGCTCTCCCTCCTTGTGCTGTGCTTTTTTTTTTTTTTCTCGTATAAAGGTCAGAACACATCCTGCTGCACTAGACTGCATACGCAACAACACTCAGCTTGTGTTTGGCTGTTTTGTCCTTTGGATGAACCAGTTTTTGTCTGAGGGTGTTGTTGGGTTTGAAGTTCACACAGGGATGTTTYGTTTGGAGAATATTTTAAGTAGTCTAGGTTTTTGTGCCTCATATAGCCTTGTTTTTAATGCTGTGGAGATGTTTTTATTTATTTAATTTTTGTTTGTTTGTTTKTTTGATATTTCCCAGATTTCTTTGTTGGTTTAACAAAATCCCAATCTGGGTATCTRCAGGTTTATGTACTTTATGATACTGACTAAACCTATTTTTGTTTGTTTGTCTGATTTCAGCAAACAGAGTTATTTGCTGATGTTGATAATGCTAAATATAATATTTCTTCAGGACTTCTTTTAGAGAATTACTTAAACAACGAAACGTACTGAGTGTAGGCATGTGCACAACCTGTGTGTGTCTTTGTGACATTTTTCTTTCTTCAGTGTGGCTCCTTCCTTTAATCARCTGTTTCACTCCCAGTCTGGTTGCATCAGTGTGGAGGTGATCCACAGCTCTACTCTGACTCAGTTTCACTGTTTCTTCCACCCAGTTGCCTCGTGTGCTACAGATGTTTACTGAGCACATGCGTCAGTGGCCTCCCCGTGACGATCGGGCTGGTGTACAAGAATAGATGGACKACTGGAAAAAACAACAACGCCTGCTTCCTCCATCGTGCACAAGGTTAATCTCATCTTGAGCTGCAGCTTGGGTGTCACCCTAATGAAGCCCCAACAGACAAACCTTTAATAACAAGAGTTAAGAGTAAATTAACCTTGAAGACTTTGCACGGTATCTCTATTCTTTTTATAAACTATGAGAGGTCTCTGCTTCTTGTGATCAAGGACGGGCCCTCGTTTAGCTTGGGGAGGGCAGAACCAAAACATTTGCCTCAATGTTTATTTATTTTTTCTCTGACATCTATGTTCCACATGAAAAAAGTCAGCCTCTGTTTTCCTCCATAAATTTGTCTGAGGCTATTTTTATATGTTTTTTTGTGTGTACTTCTACAAGCTCATTCCCCCTTCCTTTCAAATGTTTTTCTTTTTTCATTTTCCACTCATCTCGCTGCTGATCAATGCACTTAATGATGGTAATCAATCAGGAAAATGAAAGATTTACTCTCCAATATTAATTTTGCTCAGCATCGATTGGGGCGAGAAGAGTATTACTGCCATTAATGTCTTTTGAGGTGCTGTATTGAGTTGCTTGCCTCTAAAAACAAGCCGTTCATCTTTCATTTCAACAGTTTTATCACACCTTTAAAGATAATTAGAAACAGATAACCGTCACATGAGGTGATATTTACAAAACTCTTTGATGATCTTGCAGGTTATTTTTTTTTTCTTTTCTTGTTTGATAATCGTGTTAAACTTAATATATCAATTTCTTTGTGTAAACGCTCTGCTACACTGACTTTCTCAGTGAGACGGTTTTATTTTTAGCTTTTGTTGTACTGTTTACTCCATCACTTAGAAGGAAGGAGTTTTGTTTGTGGTGATGCATTTAAATGGATCAATCAGGTTAGAGCTTGTGCAGTTCACTCGTTCTGCTCGGTTTAGGCTTCACGGTGATACCTTCTTTTCCTCTGCATGCAGTTACGCAGCGGAGCCCAGTCTTTTGTGCTGACTTGGGGTAAGTGATGACAGCTGGCGCTAATGACATGCCAGTCAGTGAGCCACCAGGGGCAGACGACATGCCACACAGACGAAAGGATTTACGACACGAGCCGACTCTCCCTGCAATACGATGCCACGTGTCGTGTGCGCTATCAAAGCTGATAAGGAACTTGAAAGATCGCCGTTGCTTCTGTGGGTACGTGCACATATCTWTTTTAGACCGTCCCGTGAAGTGATTTTCAGTCAGTATTGCAACTGTTGGAGGAGCATTGTATTTTTAGTGTATGTTTTGTTTCAGTGCTCAAATGAGGCCACATTTATTTAGAAAGTGGGGGAGAATGCATTTCACCCTCTGCGATTCTTGTAAGAGTTTAAGACCAGCTTATGTCAAGAAATGACAATGTTGCTCTGATAAAACTTTTAAAATAGCATTAAGCAATTGTGGTATATCTAGTGTGCCGTGAATGGCTCTCAGCCACAGCACCACATTTTCAAACTCACATACTGTATATTAAAATGCGTGGATCTTATCGAAAATCGAACTGTGTACAAGGCAATGAATTACCTGCTACCAGGAGCTTACAAAAAATGATTTCTGATGCCAAGGGGTGAGTTTAAATATTTAAAATATGAGCAAAGATAAAAACATTTTGTGTCTTTATTTGTGGGGTTGAAATATGGAATACACTTATGGTTGAGTCAAAGCTGTCTTGAAACCACAGAATGTCCAAAAAACCTAAAAATGCTTGAAGTATCTGTATAAACAAAATCCTGTTCTGATTAATTATGGATAATATATTATGAGTTTAGTATTTATTACATGRTAAAGTCAATGTATGTAGGTAAA